ATTTGAAATATAAGTGAGTGTGCATATACACAATACAACACACTTAGAAGAGAATTACAATCAAATGCAAGAAGTATAAAAATGGTGTCAACTCAAACATGCTGGAAAACACAGACTAAAATTATGTTACATATAATATGGACTGAATTAAACACTATTGCAAGTAGCACTTTTGCTTTGTATATTTGGTATTTAAATGATACACTGTACTGTACTCTTATGAAAATTTAGCTCATGGAATTAAAAAATCCACAAAAATGCTTTCACAACGTATTAACCATTTGAACAGTTTCCCATAAAACGCAGCCGGACATCTGAAAAAAACAAAAAAAATCTTTTACAATAATTCAAATAAGAGGGTAAAAGTATATAAAAATTACGAGGACAGGACAGGATGCTCTTGGAGATGAAAGTTAAGCAGAACGGAAGAAGAAAATATGTACAGAAAGAACCAACCAGAGTGAACTGAACTGAACCTACTCTTCCCACACGACCGCGCACAATTCAGTTTCTGCAGGTTTCCGTAAGTGACTCCGTCACTCCCACACACAGGATTGAATTGGGGAGGGACAGGGCAGTTGCATCCCAGCAAGGAACCACTACCATCCACCACAGGGCCACCGGAACCATTGCCCTGTGGCAATGGAGCAGGCTGAGTTGCCTCATCTTCAGGATCTTGTCTCCAAAATGGGGGCAAAAAATTCTCCCATTCGGTCTGACGAAGCACACGTGTACTTGCATCTGCTTCCTGAATCAGGAACAGAACTGTAAATGAAGTTGATATTATCTTAGTAGAATGTTGGTGTAGCTATACTGTTCTAGCCTTGTATTTGCTATTTGCAACAATAAATTATTTCTTTGTAAAGTAACAGGCACATCCCACTCACAGAAAACAAGTTGGCTAGCTTCAAAAGAAAGTATTTTGCAAAAAGATCCACAGCTTTCTTTTTTATACTAAGATTCCTTACAATGTTTACAATACTTATACAGTTTACATACAAATAACATGTCCAAACCTCAAAAAGGAAGTGACTGTAGGCTTAAAATTGGTTATCAACTTCTTGAAGACTATAAAGCCTTTGTCTTCAGGGAAATATCTGCTTCAGGCAATACCAAGAGCATCTACATGCTTGCAAACACTTGCTGTGGACAACTTTTGACATGCAAATTGATTTCAGTAATGGTATAATGATCTGCTACCAAAAACAGGGGGTGGGGGGTTAAGTATATCTTCAAATCAGTTTCCTTGTTAAAATTAATTCACTTCTTACTGCTTTTTAAACTTCTTTTGTGGAAGGAAAATGGGTCCCAACAAAGTTGTCACCCACCTGGCCCATGCAGGTTTGCATGCCCTTGTATTAAAATATTACATACTTCACTCCCTGATAGAAGGCTCTAAAATACATGCTTCTTTGAATACATGCCTATATATACAGTTATGTCTTTTACACATGCGATATAAAATATATTTATAAAAAAGGCATTTTGTTTGTCTATCCACATGCTCACTCATCTACCCACAGCTCAAATACCTCATAGTATATGTTAAATGTAGGTTGTAAAAATTGTCGTGTTTTATTGATTAGTTCACAGACTAAAGTCTTCAGCATACAAACTACTAAAATAGACACATAAATTAATTCTGTAGTGGATGACAAAAATTACATTAACTGCAGTAAAATATATTGCGTACAACACCCATGTCAATATTCTGGGACAAAACTAAGTGAACTACATGAAAACGTTTTCAAAACTGAATAAAATTATGCTGACTTACAGCAAGAAGCAGCAATGACCATCAGCGTCTTCATTGTTCTCTCTCAAGATTGTGATTTGGGTTACTAAGCAGATTTAAGATGTTGAGGGAAACAGGAGCTGAAGAAAACAGGAAACAGGAAATCCTTTGTGGTTTATTTCTCTCTTGACTTCCCTTTGTAATGAAAACAAATCCCTACTTTTAACCAAGATTGTTAGGAAGATACTTCCAAATGCATTTTCTGATCTTACATCAGTGACTGGCCTTGTTAATAATTTGTTGCTGACAAAAACACAAATGCTAAAATGCACAATACTAATAAACAGTAGAGAGCAACAAACAACATGTTTGTATGTGCACTATGTTGTGAAATGTTAAAAAATTGCAGATATGTATTCTGTGTAGCTGTAAGTTCTGTAAGGTACAAGTGACAGGCCATTTCAAACAAAAATAAACATTTGTGAAGAATTTCTAGTGCAGATCTTCTATAAAAGAATTAATCAAATTCAGTGATGGGAGAGACAGACAGACAGACATTACTTCACATTTAAACAATTATTTGCTCCAGTTTGCATACCATTTTACAAGGATCTGTTTTTTTATAGCAGTTAACTGCATAAACTGTCACTATATCAACCAGTTATAATTACATTGTTATGTTACATTTGAATGAAAAAATTTTAACAAATTAATTTATTTAATTCTTTCTACAAATTTAGGTGACATAATGTCTATTCAACTACAATATGGCATAGAAGTGTTAAAATAATACATTTAGACATACCAATAATAATTAGATCTGTAGACTATTACATCAAGGGCATAATTCTAGAAGGGATATCAACAAAATAACCGACTCACAGGAGACTAAATTCTTATTCTTATTTGGTTTGATGTGCATTATTAGTGTTAATATGACCAAATGTAACTGCTTGTATCTCTATCTACAGCAGCCTCAGCATTACACCCTTTTGGGATAACATCTTGGACCAAATATCTCTGATTAAGCAAATACATTGATACAAGCCTCTAGCATGGTGCCCTTGATGCGCACTGTACACGATGACAGATAACATACTGACCCCGGTAATATGCAGCTGCTCTACCAGATGATAAATCAGAAGATGTTACGACCAATGTAACCAAGTGACAAACAATCACAGAGGCAGAGTGATTCTGGAGAAATGAAAATTGTTGCTATTTACATTCTGACCCCACTTGATATGAACTACGCTGCTGTTCACTGCAGTCCCTGCTCTTCAGATGCCTTTCTTTCGCTGCTGTGCAAGTCCTTTCTGACCACCTTGATTTGATTTTTGTTTCTCTTCATTTACGTTCTGTTATTTGCTTTACATCATATGCCACTGTTGGACCTATAAATTACTGATATAATAGATGCAAGTGTTTGTGTTGCTTGATGCCACTCCATTTCAAGACAACAAAAACAGCAATGCTGATAAAGTTGCGGCATGCACCGAAGCTGATCATTTACTGGAAAGAAACATGGTTTCTGCTCTTGATAAAGCCTCTCATCTGTCTCAGTACTTTACATACCACAAAGCCTGGAAAAGGAAAATCCGTGTTTAAATAGTTGAGCAACATGTAACAATTTCAACAGAATGAGATATGAAAATAAAAAAGCTTACCTAGTGTTCTTCATTGGGTGGGCTTCAAATGTATCTGTTTAACATTTTCAAAGCTTTACAACAATAATAAACTTGCCAGAGCAACATTTCACCCAGGAATTTATTTCTTCCCAGAAAAGTTCATCTTTCACTAACACTAGTGCTATAACGAAATGGATAATTTATTTTTACGTGAAATTCAATCACATGAAAAGTCTGCCACTGTGATCACTAATCAATCATCACATAAATATTGAGCGCAGTATCATTGACTCAATTGTCGAGGTTCACACAGCTACTGTTCATAGGGCAAAGTTCGCCTGCAAGCTGTGACACTGAATTCTCCAGAATACATTCTCGAACGTCCATTCAATCTTATAAAGCCTCCGCCATGGTCATCTGCACAGTCAAAAGTGAAACAGAAGTTGATAATTCACAATAATATACTGCCTGTAATAATTTATGACTGTATTTTAACACCATTAAATGAATAGATCAATAGTAGTAAATAAAATTTCATTACAGACTTACAATATTTGCTAATACATCTCTTACAGTAACTGGGTTGAGCAGTTTTGGGGTTACATATTAGCAAATTCTGAGATAGAAAATTTTTCCCCTGTGTTTCAGTTTCATCACACATAATTATCCACAATTCTCACTGGATGCTACGTACACTCAGCAGCTGATACGAACTGTTGAAAGCCTCTGAACACATCTGTGATGGCACAATTTCCCCCTATTCCTTTTCCTTCAGCTTACCATTAGGCAGATATGCTATGCTATGGGTGTACTTGTGTTTACAAATCAATATTGTACAAAGAAGCATGGAGCATGTCATTTTGATTCCACCCCACTGCCTTCTGCCTGAGAACCATCACTGTTTCCCTAACATCATTTCAGAAGTTTCCTTTACTCCAACATATGTCAGACTTTCAGCAGATACATTCTTTATTACCTTGATGATTATATATTCCTATGTGAGGCAGAAATGGTAAACAAATGATATGGAGTGGGCCCTTGCTCATATAAGACATCACACTTATTATAGAATGCCACACATCTGCAGAGAAGGCATGGATATTATGTGCAGTGTTATTCTTGTATTTGCTCAGTTTTCTGCCTCTGATAAATTCCCTCACTAATTCTTCACGATAGTGTTCAAGAACAACAAATGCTCCAGAATCTGTAAAAAAAAAAACTGTTAGTGTTTCAAGTAATTGTTAATTTGCTTTCATTTTTCATGTCTGACAACAGAAGTATGTTCATACCCAGTTTTGTTGGTGGGTTGAGTTTTAAATGCATCTGTTCCAAGTGTTCAAATTTTGTTGAACCATCATACCTAGGAATATCATCAAAAGAGATAAATGTTTCCCCCAGATACCTGTTTCTTCTTAGGAATGTCTTTTCTTTAACCACGAACATCACCATTGCATTTTCAACATTCAGCTGCACTGAGGTCAGTGGCCTACAAAAGCAAAATCTCAGATTACTAGAGTGACAGCTTGTCAGAAAATCCTACTTAAAGTCAAGCTTTGCCAGACTGGAAAACCGTAATAAGACATCAAGTCAGACTGCAGTGTCACAATCTTAAAAGGGAGCATCACATGTTAACACAAAGACAATCGTGAAAATAAATGCACAACTCTGAATTCTTTCATTAAGATATGATCAGATCCATGCTATTGTCATCATTGCTTTGCAATAATATTAGTTGTTATTATTACTACGACAATTATAAAGAATTCAATTTGATTACAAGTGTCCATTTAAAATTCTTGTGAATGATACACTGCCATCAAAATGCAAACTCCACTGTTGAGGTTGACTTATTTATTGTTTTTCCTTCATGTTGTTGTTGTTGAACATTGATTATTAACAATTAAAGAACACAACAAAAGAACTGAAGAGCTTTAGGTACTTAGGAAGTAAAATAATATAAAATGAAAGTGTTCAAGAAGAAATTACAGAAAGAATCAAAAATGAGGGAACATTTTATGAATTAGTGAAGTACATACTCTGTAAATGGGTTCTACTTTCCTAGCTCTTATGAGGGGGCCTAACAGATTATGAATTAATTTTTATTTGGTCACCTTAAGACAGAAATAAAACTAATTTTTGAAATGTGGTTTTAATACATGAAAGACAAACTCCAAAAGGTACATAGACTTACCTCCAACAGAAAAGTATAGTTATTTTTCCAGACAGACTATTACTGTAGTGTAATTAATCATATATTTAACGTAATTCTATGTGCTCCTACAATTTGAAATCTTTTGATCAGTTTTCCATGAACTACTTATGACAAAATAAGATAAAATTTCCTTACATTACGAAGGTTTCTTCAAAGAGTGGAAATGCTGTATTCTTCTGAACCTTTGTTCTTCGCTGGGTAACACCCAGAAATTTATTTTCTGGTAGCAGATAAATTTTTACATATGGATGACAAGAACCTGAAAATAATAAGCACAAATATATAAAACAGTTGCAATATAAACTTTATCTAGTTACTCAATTAATATTTCTGCCATATTTACAGACTAAAATAAAAGAAAGTCACAGCATCTGTCATCCTGTTATGTTCTGCTTTTTGAGTCAAAATTTTCTGCTTAGCAACTTGTTCTCAAACACCCTCCAGCTGTTGCCTTCCATTATGGTGAAAGACCAAGTTCCACACAAGTAGAAAACAACACGCAAAATTACAATACAAACTGCAATCATTATGTTTTAAACAGAAGATTGTAAGACAAAGATACTATATGTAAATTTACTCCGCTTAATTTCTTCATTAATGTAATTGTGATGTGTTAATTCTTTTCTCAAATATTTGATCCTTGCCAAATTCCCAAACAGTTTGTCCGTTATCTTTATGTCACTGTGAAATATCTTACATTGGCTTAGAATATAAAAACAGAGCCATAACGTGTGCCATACTGGAGCAACTCCAATCTTAGTAAAAGAAAAGAAGAAAAGAGAAAAAATTCAGGATTATTTGTATGCCCAGCATTACAGTGATACAAACTGAGATTATTAATGGTTTTTCTTCAGTCCCTCCAGTAAAATTCATGGACAGCACCTTAAAATATGCAACAATTGCTCTTTTTGACGTTCTTCTTGCCCGTCCTGCCATTTCTAATTCAACTCTGTATATTTTACAGTTTATAAAGCATTATTAAATAAACCAAGACATAAATTCACATCAAACATATGGTACTTGTACCTTTACTACTAACTGGCTGAAGATTCCTTGCATTCAAAATCTCAATCTTCAGGATCTCTTCCATAAACATCATCTTGACTGTAAGAAGACCATGATCAGGTGTCTGCTTCGCTTTTTGTTCTGAAAGTTGCTCCATGCGATACTGGTGCACCAGCTCCCATGTGTCCATTACATGAACTTGCAAAAGTTGCTCTAGGTCTGTCAGGCTGCTTACATCAGTGCTTTCATTCAGCTGTTTGAAGAATCTGGTTAAATTCTGTAGAACCTCATAAAATTTCTTAAAGAACGAATGCTCTCTCTGTAACTGATAAAAAATAATTTATATAGAAGACTCTGGTAATGAATCTGACATACATTCAGCATAACCACTTTAAATCAAAGTTAGGCCCAGCTATCCCATACTGACCAAGGAATTTCTTGGATTTCATCTACTTTTCCAGACAAATGCTGCAAAAATATGCCTAGATTAAAACAGGATTGCCTCATACCTCTTTTGATGATTTGATTCTCTACAACCTCACCAGTATTCAGTTTAAGAATAAATTAATTATAAACATATCATTCTTATAACAACAACCAAACTAACTTTAACTTTTGACAGCAAAGATGTACAGTTCATGTCCTTATTTTTATGGACATGCATAATGAAAAACAGTCAATCTCAATGTTCCCCAAACATGAAAACTAGTAACCTTTCTACATAAATGGGCAATTATCAGGCCCATATTTACAAAGTGGGAAGGTCTGTGTCTTTTATATTATTAACAGCTGCAGTGCTAAATGGTGACAAGGCTTATAAATGACACGCTAACTGCATTATACATTAAGCCACATATTGTTGTCTAGTGATGAAATTGTCAGGGACATAAATTGCTATCACAGAGGACAGAAATAATCATTTTATATTATATCAAATTAAATTACGTAACAATCAACCTACCTTCAGGTTTATTTCCAAGACCTCACTTAGTCTAAAGCCCAAATTCTTCAAGATTAAATTCAGAAGACAATTGAAGTTACTGGAATCAAGATGAGAACAAAGAGCTTGTAGGTTCCAGTCCAGGTGACTCATGAACTTGGCTATCTTCTGCTCATAGTCAAGGTCCTCAAATGCTTTCATTAAGATTTTGCTCGTTGAAGGCATCATCTAAAAGCACCACACGGAACAGAGAGGCTTATACTTCACTTCAGATCCAATAAATCCTGCTAATATAACAAAGAGAATGGACATGCTTTACCTTTTGAATGGCCACCTCACATATTTTGTTCCTTGCTGCTTCAATTGTGTTATCAATTATTACTTTTACAGTCTGCCTGTTGTTTTCTGTTGAACTACTTTCAATTTCATTGTCACTTGTATCAATTTCATCCACCCCAAATCTCCAAATAGAATGGACTGACTGTTGCACATGGTCCATGTTCGTCACTGCTAAGCACCACTGAAATTATTAAAATTACATTACATAAATGCATGGAAGTGTCACATTAGAGTGAAGTATTACTACAAGATACTTCTACCAGTGTTAACCAACAGTTTGAAAATCAGCAATGCTGTTACGTCCTATAGACACAGAAGAGACTGATTTACAAGCAAAAATCACAAAAATAAAGCATGCTATATGGTAAATACGCTGCATTTCTTTAACTCAGTCAGCCACATCACTTCCTCCTTCATCCTTCTGCAGCCACAGTTTACACAATATGCAGCGCTACCTTCATGTCTTGTAGCAAAATTGTTGGATTATGAGAACAATCTGTTATTCAGTTTAAATATCAAGACTCTAGTAGTATTCATTACATTATACTCACTGCCTGAATTTCCATGTCATTTATATTTTCACCATTATATATCTCCTCTATTCTTTCACACATCTGATCAGCATAGAAAATTAAACACTCACAGACACCCTGAAAAGAAGCAAATATTCAAACAGTATCTGGTCAGAGTTCAGTCTGCAGCTGCTCTCTAACTGTCTGTTTTGCACAACAGGATGGTCGCAGAACGCAAAGAGACTCTGAGAACACGTAACACAAAGTGTTGCGTGAGAGCAGAAAAACTAACATATAGAAGAAGTCACACGTCTTCAAAGCTTCAAAAAATGTTACTTTACAAATGAGATAGTCTGCACACAGTAAGAAACACTGTGTGTTATATTATACATATCGTGCTGAACGGAGCGCACACAAGTGTACAACAACCTATGCAGTTTTATGCAGAAGTTCGTAACATTTCTTATGAGCTCTACTAACATAATTTATTCTGCCAACATGATACACATTACACTTACACCAATTAATTTCTCTGCAAAATGTTTCAAGGCACTGGCATCTGGCCAGGCAAGCTGCTCCCAAGAGATTTTCATCTGCAATAAAATTAAGCAGAATATAACATGCAGACACAGTAATAAATAATATTACAGGTAATATAATTTATGAATTACAACAAGTACACAAGTTCATCACAAAAAAGGAACTCCAATAAAGCCACTCTTATTTCTCTAAGATGTCACAGATACCTGAACAAATATGTGAAGAATATCGCATGCAGACGAACTGCATTTGGTGGCGGTGTAAACGGGAACGAACCTGTCCAGTTGTACAGCTTTCTGTATTCCCTGCAATGCTTTGTACTGTGATATATGGAGCCAATGAATGACCCCTGGATGAAACCACTGGTGGAACTTGTTAGGAAGGGTTAAATCCAAGTTTTTTTGGCTCTTTGTGTGACCTGTCCTGTTAAGATAACTGATATCAGAACAAACACATGTAAAATTACTAACTTTTTTAACATTTTTCAGGGAGGTTGAAAGGAAAGGTCCAGAGATCATCAAGCTAACAGGAATACCATGATTCTTATTCTGAATAATTAACACTTCCACTGCTGCTCAAGCAAGATTACTCTTCCAGTGCCACACATCAAGAAAAGTCGTCCCTGGTGCACATTAAGCACCACACCATGAGGACATACAAGACAGTGGAGGTACAGTTCCACTTATTATTGACCTAAACCCTGGATGGAGATGGTCAGCTCACACGCAATCCACTTTACCCTGGGGAAAGACCCCTTCGCACCCATTTCATGGAAATCAGGATGGGTCCCAGAGCCAGGCTGCACACAATAGATAAGAGAAAAATTTCTCACCTTTGCTGATAATCAAACCCTGGTCATACAGCCTGTACCCTAATCACTACACAGACTAAGTTACACTGGTGCATTCCAGTAACAAAGACAGCTTGAAACGTCCTTTGTCAATCACTGAAATATTTAGTATTTTCTGAAACTTGGGTTAATAAACAGCCTTAGAAATTCACAGATAACATTACAAGGTTTCATGATCAAATCATGTATTTGCTTTTGACATGCATTTCATATAAGAATTTGTATGTGTATAAGTGAGGATGATTACAAATGGTGAATTGAGATGGTAAGAGGAGATGTGGTTGTAGGCTATTTAAAGGAATTACAAGTGTGTTTGTATGGAGGGATCAAAGAATAAAACACTGGCTTACCTATAAAATGTTTGCAGGCTAGTATAGAGCTCAAACAAAAGAGAACCGAGGGATAAAGGATCATTGTCATACACCCCTCTTTCTGAGCCATCCTTGAACTTCAGTGGGTTCATGCTATTCCATATGCTTGCAACAGTTGGTTCAATAATCTCTGACAACTGTGACAAAGAATGAATAAAATTATATTCTACACACAGTGTTACATGTATTGAGTACAAGAGAATCAGTACACAACTTCATGCATAGAGATGAGTCTTTACAAAGTAACTGTACTCCCAGACATGTTGTCCTGAAAACAAAAGTGCTGGGGTACTCTGGCACACAATTCCAGGTTGAAAGAAATGGGCACGAATCATACGACATTGTTCTCATGATAGCTTTACACTTTTAAATGCAGAACTAAACAATAAACAGATCACAGAACTGAGTATTCTGCCAAACAGAGAAGTCAGAAATTAATTATCTCGTCCTTCCCTATTTCAGGTACCGTGTTGTATGCCTTAAACTGATCTTTATTGTGAATAATGTTTCTCATCTACAAATTACTCAAAAATACTTTCACTGGTCCCTGCAGCCTAGACAATTTGCTAACCATACAGTATGAAATTATCGCTCACAGATCACATCATGAACCACTTCAAGCAATTTGTATTTTTTGTGGTTAAGTATAACTTCAATATCAATTTCAATCAAAGAATACATAATAATCAAGCTGCCTTAGTGGACATGTGACCATCTCACCCTGACCCACTGTTGAGAACTGCTTGTAATGCTGACATATTAGGTGTCAGCAGCTAAAGTAACAAGTGTTTGCTAATCCAAAATGGGAGAAACTTTATTTTCAATTTCATCTCTTCAGCTCAAACTTCAAATTATGCCACATAGTTCAGACACACTGTGTATATAGCATTAAATGTGTCAACTTGGTCTATTAGTCAATAAATTTTTTTGCTTAGCAATTATTGTATATTACTTCTTGGTTAGTCAATTAAAATAACCTCAAATTTAAAATTTTAAAGCTTCAGATAGTAGAATTAATCTTAAAATACTACTTACAGTTTATGGGACTTCTGTATTCAAAGTACTATTGCCTGCCTACGTAATATACCTTGTTATTTTCTTTTTGTCTATAATACTGTATAAGCCATGTTAATTATACTTACTTTATCATCACATAGTTTGTAGAGTGTATCTGCGTATTGGAAATTAAAATACCTAAAAGAACAAGCATAAATTTATTATATCCTTAGTTAGATGCCTGTGCATTACCAAATACTATGAAATTGGAATTAGTCTATATTTAAGAATAATCTTCTCTTTCTACTTTTATGTTCAATTTTAATCTGTAAGCTATAAAAATGTTTTTTCTACTACTATCACTATATGTCATGCATTTACATATAAACAGCAAATCAATGTTTCAGTAACAAAGAACAGCAAAAAAGTTACTCACTAAATTTGTCATTTATCATAAGCAGGTCAGAATTTATCAACAATATTCATATAATGGAATCATGCTTGGCCAACAGCGGCAAATAATTTCAGCAACAGTTCAACAAACACTATAAATCTAGGACTAAATTATGGAATAATGAAAATGTGACTGGACTTAACACACTAAAATACATCAAAAATAAAAGACAGATCACAGAAAATCATAGAAATGACAAATCTTTATGTTCTAAAAATCAGAAATATTAAAAGAAAGTTTAGAAAATAAAATAAAAATAAATTAAGTGAAAAGTATAACAGAAAACATAGTACAATACGATGACACAAATTAAATAGTATTATACATTGCAAAGTCCACAATCTTTTACAGAGTATCAATGTTCTTCATTTGACAATAAATCACTTAACATCACATGTATGATATTTTGGACCAGCGATTAAAATTGCCTTACATTACATTACATTAAAAGTGGAGGAAGAACGCATACTTGTGAAGGTGTCATTTTGCTCCTGTTACATTATAGATCACTTTATGAGAATGATAAATTGCTAAATCCTTACTGAAAATATGTAATTCATATGGCATACTGACTTTTGGTAAGCTGGGTCAAGAAGATCAAAGGCTTTCTGCAGAGATTCTGTCACAGCGGTTACCACGCTAAGAAGTCCTCTTATCTTTTCTTCTTCATTGCTAACATCATTTACACCATATTCTTCAGTGACTTTGGTAAACCTGGAAAAATCAAATATATAAAATTATTAAAACTAGAAACAACACGTCAAACAAGATAAAAATAGATTATTCAGAATGACAAACTTCCCTGTGAGTACAAGTAAATCATCTGAACATCTTTCAGGGTTTATCTTGCAACATTTAAATATCTGGTAATAAGAAAGAAAACGTTCATTAAGAAATCAAGACCAGAATATTTTTCTTATTATTTGGTTCAAAAATTATTTTACCTATAGTTTTGTATAGATGTAAAGCATGGTCTTACTCAGAAAAACATTGATTGCTAAGTGTTTGAAAACAAAGTGCTGACGAAAATATTTCAGTCAATGAAAGATAAAGTAATTGGACAATTACACAATTTATGATGGGCTGGACAATTGGCATGTATGAACTTCTGGAAAGTGGCATGGACCAAATAAAAGTCAGAAGCATTACTGCTAAAGCAAATTTGCTCAGTTTAAAAATAAAATACATTCACTAACAGTGTTGAATAAAGAAGTCAAGCAGTTTATATTAAGAACTGCCTCCTTCTTCAGGGTTAAACTTAAACCACTGGGATGTTTTTATCTTTTTGACGTTGTGCAACACCCAAAAGACTCTCAATAACAGGAATTATCCTGATGGCTTGGGCAGTGAACATGCAAATGGACAGCAGGTCTTCTGACAATGGATGAAGTGAGTAAATTTGTGAAAGTGTAGTTTCGAAACATTCCATATTTTGTGTGAGATTTTATAAAAAAAATAACTTTAGGTTGCTTACCACTCAGCTGCTCCTTCTGTTGTTGTTTCAATAACTGTAGCGCGAATGTCACTGTGATTTATGCTCTTTCTCCACGGCAGACAGTCATTACATGCAGCTGGAAAAGAGATTACATCTTTTGGAGGCTGAAGTTCTTGGAAAAGAGTCAGAAGACTGAAACACACATCAGAACAATTTATTTTCTCAACACTTGTTCTTCTCAACAGCACGAGTTTATTGTTACATGCAAAAATTACAGCCCATTTTCTTACCTGAGAATAGTAGAAGGTTCATTTATAGTTCTCTTACTTGAAGCCAATACTTGTATATTTCTAATACCAGACAGAAGGGATGGTAGTAATGTAACGGCAGCCTTCCAGAACAGTATCTTCTGAAAATACAAGTGCATATGGTAGTCAAACCCCAATACAGTGCCCCCCCTATATAATGTAACCCTCACACTGTCCCCAAGAAAGCCTTGAAACAGAAATTCCCTATATAATTTCAAAAGCTGTAGGTCAGGTGAATTCAGAACATAACAAAATTCAACCATTTATAATCCAGCACTTCTCCAGGACATCCCTATGATCACCCGAAGAACACGCTAGAAATTCTCCATGACACAACCTTATCTCACCATTGGTGATGGAGAAAAGCTGCAGAAATCCTTGAAGGTTATGTGGACGTCATTAAGTGGTGGTGGTTTTTGATCCTATGTGGGTCAGTCATTTTGGATTCGGTTCAGTTTGATTGGGAAGAGTTACTTTGGATTAGGTTGCGTTGTTTTGGGTTAGGATGGGTTAGAATAGGTTAGGTTAGGTTAGGTAAGGTTGTTTTACAATGTTTTACGATGTGTCCTGGAGAATTTCTAGCACATTCATCCGGTTTAATTATACATACATACCTCTTCCTCTGTGACCAAGCCTTCTTGAATGGCCATGCTCAGTTTCTGTTTCAAAGGCATGAAGACAGTGAAGCTAAGAGGGTGACATGTGTGAATATTACTGAACTCAATCCACTGAGCCAGGAGTTCAGACACCAGCGGCAGACCACTCTGAACACGATGCTGAGTTAGTATTTTCTCTGCAAGTCTTGACAGACTTCCATTCCAGCTGTGTGGCTCTACCTATGGAAATAAAATATTTTTATTTCTTTAGCATCCAAGAGGAAAGTATAAATATTTCATTTTGTGGTCCCAAGTCAGTAAATAATGTAATTTCTTTATTTAATAATGTTTTCTCAACTTCAACTATAGCACTGAATGGAAAATCAGCTGCTTATGATTGAGGTTTCCCTCAGTCCCTCCTGATAAAAGTTAATATCATGCCATTCTCTTAGAATTTGTATGATTGTTTCTACACTAAAAATTCAAACAAAACTTGCTAACCTGTGACATTTTAATTTCGTATAGAACTACATTCTTTATCAGATACATATGTTCCTGGAATGCGGTGTTTGTGTTCTCAAAATGGAATGCCAGGCGGAGCTTCACATCACCTCGTTTCTTCATTTTATCTTTCTTACACACACTGCATGACAGTATGTGGCCTCCTGCTGGAATATCCTGGAAGAAAGCCAATGCCAAGGTGCAAGTGTGGGAATACAGAAATTGGAGTTTAAATACTGACTATCACTTTCCCCATCTCGCTGAAGGAAAGCATTTATCACAACTTTTTCCTTCTTTCCAGTTCTACAAGTTTTGTATGAAACAATTTTTGGTCAAGTGAATGTTATTAAACGTCACTTTTGGCATCCAAATCATGTTTGGTTCATGCAGTCTATATTCTGAGCTTAAACTGTACTAAAATTTCTAACATATAACTAATAAGAAACAACAGAACAAAGAAATTGTAATGGTTTAAATGCACATAAGTTCCCATACCTTCAAAGGAATTAATGAACTTCCAATCATTTTTCTGTCATGTTTGTCCAAAGATGCTGAAGATGCAACATCTTTTAGTAGTATTTTCAGACCTTTCACACCCTTCACCTTTTTAATATTCTTCAGCTTCTCTTCTACTGTCTTGTCTCCGTTGAAATTCCTAAAATGTAATTTCAATCAACATTATTAATTAACCTAACAAGTGCATGTCAGCAACAATGACACACTCAAATAAGTTCATTTTGCCTATTTTCACTCCATAATGAAGTACGGAATAATTTTTATGGAGTAATTAATATAATAGCACACATGCAAGTGCTTGCAAGATAAAATAAAGACTCACTTTCACCTATCAGTATAGTAAAGAAATTAATTTACATCCAACTTAAAAGTTTCTGAAAATGAGTTTTTATGGATTGAACTATGGTTGTTTTTGTTTTCCACTAATTCAGGAATTTCTATTGGTAACAATCACACTTGGTAGCTTTTGCTTAGACGTCTACTTGCTTTTGAATGACTGTAAGGATACATACAGTGAACTTAAACTAATTATGAACGATGGGAAAATATGTCAAGGTAATGGTCAATTGGCACGACATGGGAGTTTTCACAGTAATTTTCAGACAGGGAAAAACAGTAAAAAATATGTAAGTTTATGTTGGCCTCTTTGCATCATGAACAATTAATAGGTGCCTTCCTGCATAGACATATTTGGATGTTCTACCAAAATGATTCTAACTTGTTTAAATAAGCATTATTCACACATTAACAAAATGTGACTAAAGTAAAAATACTGAATGTGAAACATACCAGAGCTTAACACAGAGGACATCATCAACTGTAGAATTTTCTATGGGTCTGAAAATAAATTAAATGTGCACATTTATTCATATAACATTCTACAAACAAAAATGCAATAGGTAACTACCTTACTCTTCAGATCAGTGAACTACCAGGTCAGAGACAAAGCCCCTAACTAAGGACCAAGGGAAGATACAGCAATACACTGTTTGGTCAGCTCTACTATACACTTCTTGGAGTGGTGATAGATGAACATGGAGTGATGATGGAATGATTACACAGGGCAACAATTTTTCACATTTTCCAGTAACATGGATAATTTTCTATGTTCTTTACTAATTTTGGGGCGCTGATTTCAAATACGACCTTGAAAAACACCTAACATGTAAGATTTTTTGATACGATAACTTTTACTTTTTCTCGTTTCCGTATACAGTACAAAATTTAGCCTACTACTAATGCCATTTTAATGGGTTTATTTACAAAGCTGCTGGTGGTTTTGTTCCTTTCCACGCTGCGAGTTCTTTAGCAGAAAGTCTGGCTTCAAAATATCCATCGTCCTACAGTTTTCTGATCTGAGGCCCGACAAAAATCCCTTCTTTCAACTTGGCATCACTAAGATAAAAGTTCCCCTCAGATATTTGAATCCTTCTCCTTCCTTGTCCATTCCTTTAACAAATTTTTTTATAAGTCCTAGTTTAATATGAAGTGGGGGTAAGAGAACATTTTGTGGGTCAACCAAAGGCTTGAACTTGATATTACCTTTTCCCGGAATTAATTCATTTCTTCCTGGCCAGTCATTACAATAGCATGTGCTTAAACGTCAAAACTCACATTACAGTGAGGTTATGGGAGACTGCCAGCGTAGCCAACCTGCAAAATATATCCCTATGGAATCAATGGTAGACGTTAAGACAAAATACCACAAAAATGGTACGTGATGGAAAGTTTTCAAGGCCATATTTGAATTTTGCGCAAAAAATACAATATGAAACACATATTTTTATCCATATTACCGAAACATTGTTGACCAGTGTTATTATTGTAAAAAAATGGAAGAACTCAGATATAACCAGCTGCAGTGCCACTTAATCCACTACAAATCTCACTTAGAAGTCACCCAGGACTGATCCAAGGTCTCTGCAGTAAGAATCTATCATCTAACCATATGAGCTACACACAGCCTTGCAATAGAGTAGAGTAGAGTAGAGTAGATAACATATGACAAATACTTGAAGAAAATCTCACACAACAAAATACTATTACATAAGTTTATTATGAAAAACAAATAAACAAATACTTATGAAAGCAGGATTCTTTTGAAACAGTATATAAGGAAGTTACATGATTCATCCATCAGAATAAGTCAAGCAAAACACTGCTGTTACAGAGAAAAATGTATTCCAGAGTTCATAAAAGTGAATGACCAGCTAATACTGTCGAATTGTATTCCATGTGGCTCCCAAACAAAGCCACAGCCCAGTCACTACAGTCTAACTGTGAGGTTAAAACATTTCTTAATTTGTATCTTTCTCTTGCAAATGATTCCATCTTTCTTATTTAACCTTCTTATCAAAAATAACTCATGTAAAATTGTCAAAAGAAGAGGTTCATAGCGACTTATAAATCCCATTCAAAAACATGCAAAGTACTCACAGCTGATACTTCTCTTCCCATATCGGTTTTAATGTTTCTGGCTTTACTGAAGTGCTGCAATGCAAGCTATCGTTAGAAACCAAGTACAGGGTACAGAATGGGTGGCTGAAACCTGCAAAAAAGCAGAAAAATGTCTATACTTAATTATAAAGTCGCATTTAAACATGTCCCTTAGAATGTACTTTCAGTCTTTTATGAATACATCACAACATATGATTTCATATTGCTTTAGGCAGTGCATAATAAAGGCAAATGTACTTATCAGATTTAGTCTCAGGAGAACAAGAACACATTAAATGGATTTGATGTGTCTACGATGCTAATGTTAGTCTACTGGGCAAAAACAGAAGTACCATAAAGGAGCCCTATGAAATGCTAGAAATGGGGATGATCTACCAGTAAAAGAACAGTGTACATCCTAATGATGTTATGTGAATGTTTACTTATAATTACTTAATATAATAAGTAGTATCAAGTATATTTAATCACTTGATGACAGTGGAAGGCTGCCATGTGTACTGGATATTGGCATAATTTATACTGTTGTGTTTGATGACTCCATTATTTTATATATGCAAAGAAAAAGGAAGTATATGTTCATGTATCAACATCAGGATACAACATAAAATCATAATATAAAGACATAATAAAATTTTAAAAATGTAACAAATGAGAAGGAAGTGACAGGAGGCTGGAGGAAATGTGCATAATTTATACTCTTCGCTGAAAGATTATTACGTTATCCAAGTCACGGAGGGTAAGATTAACAAAGCACAAAGCATGCATAGGAGAGCTGAGAAATGTATACAAAACGTGAAAGTAAGAGAGCACTTGGAAAATCTAAGTGATAAGAGTTTCTCACAGCGGTGAAGATGTTTATATTGCCCTTCAGGGTTGCGGAATTGTTGGCAGAACATAGTGACTACAACTTCAGCCTTGAAATTGGAAGCAGTATTTTTCTTCAAAACGTCAGTATCTACCTACAAGTCCACACGGCATCAAAAGCCAGATCAACAACTGACAACATTCAAAGGTGTTCAGCAGAATTATAACGATGAATATCACATACCGTTTACATTAGCAGGTTTCAGGATCATGGCTTCCATTACTTCAACATTAAGAAGAATTTTTGGTGCCTGAAACAAAATATTACAAAAGAAACAATAAATAAAGTAACTCCATACTATCATACGTTTTAATATTATGAAATGTAGTACAATGAATATTTGACTTCAGCTAATGAAATTGGCTGTTATCGGTTTTAATTACTGGCCAATAAAATTAATTTTAATAAAAGGCTAGGTGGTCAGAGGCAAAATGCTTAAGCACACGGAATCATACCCTCTCTTTCTCATGTTGCTGACAAGTAATAATTCTGTACAAGTGGGCAGTCCCCC